GGGGGAGCTTGCACAGCAGCAGGGCAGCCCCGGGGCCCTGGGCGGGGACAAGTGCAATGGTTTATACTGGCGGGGGAGCTCGCACAGCAGCAAGGCAGTCCGGGGCCCTGGGCGGGGACAAGTGCAATGGTTTATACTGGTTGGGGGAGCTTGCACAGCAGCAGGGCAGCCCGGGGCCCTGGGCGGGGACAAGTGCAATGGTTTATACTGGTGGGGGAGCTTGCACAGCAGCAGGGCAGCCCCAGGGAACTGGGCAGGGACAAGTGCAATGGTTTATACTGGCGGGGGAGCTTGCACAGCAGCAGGGCAGCCCGGGGCACTGGGCAGGGACAAGTGCATGGTTTATACTGGTGGGGGAGCTTGCACAGCAGCAAGGCAGCCTGGGGCCCTGGGCGGGGACAAGTGCAATGGTTTATACTGGTGGGGGAGCTTGCACAGCAACAGGGCAGCCCCGGGGCCCTGGGCAGGGACAAGTGCAATGGTTTATACTGGTGGGGGAGCTTGCACAGCAGCAGGGGAGCCCCGGGGGGCTGTGAGTGCCGTGCAGGAGCCGGCATGCGGCTGCAGGGGCGGGCGCGGGGGCCAGGGACTGCGCGAAGCCGCGGGGCCGGCGTCGTTGGCGGGGCGGGCGCCGCGGGCCGGGAAGCTCCGCACCGCGGCACTAACCGCAACCGCCTCCGCTTTCGTTTGTGCAGCGCGGCCCCGACGGCGCCGCTCCCGCCATGCTCCCGGTGCGGCTGCTCCTGGTCGGGAAGAGCGGCAGCGGGAAAAGCGCCACCGGGAACACGCTCCTCGGAGAGGCAGTGTTCGAGTCCAGGCTGGCGCCACAGCCGGTGACCACGAGCTGCGCGAGAGCGCAGCGGCGCCGGGACGGCAGGGACGTCACCGTGGTCGACACGGCCAGTATTTTTGACCTGAGCTCTCGCAGCGGTGGCTTGTACGGAGAGATCATCCGCTGCATTGAGCTGTCCTCGCCCGGGCCCCACGCACTGCTGCTGGTGACGCAGCTGGGCCGCTTCACGGCGGAGGACGAGGCGGCCGTGCAGGCTCTGCAGGACATCTTTGGACCTACAGTTCTGAGGCACACGATCGTCCTGTTCACACGCGTGGAGGATCTGGTGGGGGGCTCGCTGCACGATTACGTGCGCTATGCGGACAACAGGGCTCTCCGAGAGCTGCTGCAGCGCTGTGGGAACCGGTACTGCGGCTTCAGCAACAGCACCACGGGCGCCGCGCGGGACCAGCAGGTCGCTCAGCTGCTGGGCATGGTCCAAAGGCTGGTGCAGGAGAACGGGGGCGGCTGCTTCCAAAACGAGCTCTACCTGGAGGCCTCGTTGACCGAGGAGAAGGTGCTGTGTCGCATGGAGCAGTACAGAGCAGCCAGGGAGCAGAGCGGGAAACGCCGCCCCGTGCCGTACAAGATCGTCCTCCTGGTTGGCGGCATAATTCTCCTCGTTGTTGCTGTGGTTTTCCTTGTTTTCCTTATTAGGGGCACGGGCAGAGCAGTTGAGGCTGGCAGGGACTTCCGGGGACAATTGGGTCCCACGCAGAGCTGGTTGCCCGGGCCGTGACTAGCCCGCTTCTAGCTTCCTCAGGGTGGAGGCTCCACATCCTCCCTGCGCTGTTCTAGTGCTCCCAATAAAGAGAGCTTTTCCTTCCATTTAACGGCGTTTCCTCTGTTTGGCCTTGGCCTCTTGCCTCGTATCGTGTCCCGGGGAGCCGCTCCACCTTCTCCACCCCGTCCATCACATCCCCCTGTGCCTCCTCCAGGCTGCACGGCGCAGCCGCTGCTCCCAGGGCAGCTGCTCCGACCCGCCCGTCTCGGCAGCCCCGCGCTGGCCCCGCTGCCGCGGACGTGCGCACGTGGCAGACTTGCTCTCTCCCGGGTGCTTCCCACGCTGCAGCCTCCTCTACGGCCTCGCCTGTGCCTGGAGGCCGCGGCGAGCGCGTGGCCTCCACGCCACAGCCGTGCCCGTGAGCGCAGCCCCGCGCGCCTCCCCGCGGTGCTGCCCTCGGAGGCACTGCTTCCCCGCTCCCACAGCGGCCCCAGCAGCTTCTTTCTCAGCCCGCCCCGCTCCTCCTGGATCCCTTCCATGTCCTGCGCCCTTCCCAGCTGGGAGATGAACTCCTGGCTCCATTGTATGGAAAGCCACATGCTGTGAGGTCGGGTTTGTTGGTGTGCCCAGTGCCATGGGCTCACCTGGAACGGGCATCCCTGGGCAGCTGCTGACACTCGAGTGGACACGTTTTTAAGCTTGGGTGACTCATTAGCAAGTCGTGGCTTTTGGGAGGTCGCTGAGGAGCAGCTGCAGCCTGAGGAGAGGTGGGTTCCAGAGGGGAGCGTTGGCGTGTTCCCTGCTCCAGCCTGCAGCCCAGGCCCGGCAGCTGGCCGCGCTGGACACGTGCGGCCGGCGCCCGGAGCGCTCTGCTTCCCCCGTGCCGGCAGAACGGAGGCCAGGGCAAGCTGTGCAGAACCCGCATGCGGCCGCATTGACAACGAGATACCCGTCAGGAAGCAGGGCCCTGGAGGCCAAGGAGGCCAAGGGGCTCCTGGCTGCATTGGTAGGACATTGGCAGCAGGGCAGGGAGGGGATCCTGATCCTGCCCCTCTGCTCAGCCCTGGGGAGGCCAAACCTGGAGCATTGGGGGCAGCTCTGGGCTCCCCGGGACAAGGGGGACGAGAGAGGGTCCAGCGGGGAGCCACAAAGATGATGAAGGGCTTGGAGCATCTCTTGTATGAGGAGAGACAGAACTGGGCCTGTTCAACGTGGAGAAAAGAAGGTTGAATGGAGAACTGATCAACATGGACAAGTACCTGAGGGAGGATGGAGGGAGGAAGGGGCCGAGCTCTTCTCGGTGGTGGCCAG